GATGCCAGACGTCTGATTTTGAGAGGATGGGCCATCCTCTATTTCAACTTCACTCATCTTGGTCTGCTAACATTACTGCTGCTGCAATCTGAACTCACGTGCGACAGCAGGTGGAACTTAGCTCACGTGCAAACAGCTCAACTAACAAGAGAAAACGTACGTCATATCGTAATCAAATCGTCATAGTGCCACGATGCATATTGTGACATTTTTGCATCGCAATAAATCGTACAACGATAAATCGTTACACCCCTAGTTTTAAGCAATTTATTTGTTAGACTTCTTCCCTCTCACAACGAGTTTCTGAGTTCTCTCAGTCTTCTAACCAAGTTCATTCCTTTGAGGTAATCTGGAAACAAGTTCACATTTTAAAAGCCTCTCTTGCTTATTCAAATTACGTGATTAAACTAATTAAGTTGAATGGATGCACAATGGATGATTTTGTCATTAAAAAGGAAAACTGTTTAATAAAAGTTTATCTGAAACTGAATATTTCACTTTAACTTTATTTAGGCTTTATTTAACAAAGCAGTTTGTGCTTTGGCGCTGAAGCATATAACGGACTGGTTTTAAATATAGTTAATTACCTATTTTTCACTATAGACGAATTATACCGGTTTGTAAACATTTAGGATGCTTGCACGGCGAGGTTGCAGAGAAAAAACTAGAGCGCTAGCATTTACAGCGAGGGAATGACATCTGATGCGGTACAGAGTTTGTTGTTGTATTAGAGTTATATTGATTACATAATATATATATATATATATATATATATATATATATATATATATATATATATATATATATATATATTAATTACATAATACTTTTAGCATATTATAACAGCTTGTCACCCAGTGAGAAGCACAGTGATTCGGCAAAACTAACGTTAAAGTAAGCGCCGTTCGTCTGACAGGTCCATTTGCGATAGCACCCTCCCAATGGATATTGGATAAGATAAAATGCCCAAGCATCCAGCCCCAAATATACAATCTCATTAAAACTCTGAGTGATTTTATAAAAAAAAAGCTAAAGGCCTACAAGTCTTTGGATGCCAACAATTTTGATATTTAGAACAAAATTGTTCTATGTGGTCATGTGCAAGAAATAATGTTACATAATAAGCAGATTCAACACTTTGCAGTGCTAAAAATCAAGGTTCTGCCTGGCCAAAGACAGGGAAAGAAGACGGAGCTATACATGGCCTGGGTAATCATCAACAAGCAAAGCAACTGCATTCTGACTGTGAACTGCACCTGTATGGCAGGGTATGTGAACTTACACTTTTACATTGCATTCTAAGCATTTAGTGTGCGCAGTTTAATTCACCATATTTAACTGTTTTTGCTGAATCATTGCTGCAATCAAAATCAAGTAATGTGTATGATTCAGCATAGCGTGAACTTACCTGATGTGAAATGAGAACTGCAGAGCTCAGCATTTTTAATTAGGTCCTCACTCCGTTCAGCTCTTCTGATGGCTGTTAGCCAAAGACGTCTGCAGTTGGCATTATAAGCAGTGTGGTATACGGTGAAATTTAAGTTTTCTATTTTTTGGACTTTCGATTTTGGCATCCTATCGCACAACACGACATGTTTGCTAATGCAACCGGTCTTTTTTTGCAACTGGTATGCGCGGTTGAACCCGTGTGGCGTAAGTTGGTAATTTCTCTATATAGTATGGAACTATGTAATTTCGGATGCAACCCTACACTTCAAATGTTTACCTTTGACGTATTTCCTTTTCAACATATTATGGTTTGGGACATATTCATCTTATTTTCAAATACTATTTAGGAAGGACAGCATGTGAATTGGGACGCAGCATATGGCTCTCTAGTTTGAAAACCACTGCTATAGACTGAACACCATATGAGGATAATATTAAAATAATGTTTTCAACAACCTGAAGTTTTGAACCCCATTTTCAAAAATTCGCATTTTCAGGCCCCTTTTGAGTAAAAAAAATAAAATAAAAAAACTTATAGATTGTCAGTTCTTATTTGAACGTTTTTATCATGTAAATATACCTAAAAAGGTTTCCTAATCCCCCAAATCATTTGGTGAAACATTTTCCATAACTAACTGCATGTTTTTGATTGATAAATTGAATTCAATGTCAATTCAGCTTTATTTGTATAGCACTTTTACAATGTAGATTTTGTCGAAGCAGCTTCACATAAATGGTCATAGTAACTGGATCTGGGTAGTTCAATTTTTAGTGTTTAAGTTCAGTTCAGTTTAGCCCAGTTCAGTGTGGTTTGAAGTCATTATTGAGAGTCCAAACACTGAAGAGCAAATCCATCGATGAGTAGCTTTTCAGATCCTGAACCATGCAAGCCAGTGGCGACAGCGGAGAGGGGAAAAAAAACAAAAAGGGTAAAATCATTTCATGCACCCAGGTAGCAAAGAATTCTGGCCCAGTTTTGGCATAAATCTGGCACACCAAGCTTTCATCCGTGGGTCAAACATGACCCAGTTTTGTCATCTTTAAGGCAGCAAACAAGACTTGGGCCAGATGTAAAATGTAGTATTTGGCCCTGATGTTAATAATTTATATGTGGGCCATGTAAGTTTGGCCTGTCTTGACCCACATTTAAAATACATGTAAATTATTTTTTAAATAAGTAAAACATTCTACCAATCAGGTCGCTTTGAGAAAAAGTATGCCAATAGTGCAGTTAAAGCGCAATGCTTCATGAGTTTATCAATTTAATTGCAGTCTTGACACACCAGCATATTTGGCCCATTTCAGGCCCAGTTATTGATTATTAACTTGGTTGAGACTTGGCCCGGGTATGGTCCATGTTTGGCCCTTGTCTGGAAGTCATTGTTTCAGTCATGTACCAGAATTCACTGTGGCATGTGGGCCAAGTAAAAGCTGATTGTGTGGGCCAGAGCTGGGCCAGAAAAATGTTGCTATGTGGGAGTAATTTATTAGCCCATCTGCGATAACTTCTGAACCAGGAACATTTCTAAATGTCATTGTGTTAAATTGTAACATTTTAGAGTGAAACAGGACATTCAAGAAGAAACTAAGGGTGCTTTCACACCTGTGAATCGATTCAGTTGTTCCGAAACAGAGATTACAATTGTTACATTGTTGCTCTTTGCTCTTGGAGCGGTTCACTTTCACATTGCAAAGTTTCTAATCGGACCAAAAGAGCTAAAACAAGTCACGTGCGAGTAAACTCTCCTCACATTGGTTAGAGTGTCAGGGTTTATTTTGCAGCGTCCCGCTCAGCTGTCAGGAGAGGTGGTGGTTTGGTGGTGATTGACAGGGTGCGCGCGCGTGACGTGTCTGAGGAGAGATGCGGTGGGGAGGGGTGAGAAGGGTGCGCGACGTAGCCTATTTGAGGACCGGGAGGGAGACGCGAGATTACCGGGAGATCATCACTCGTTTGCGGGCATCCGGAGACTTGTGAAACTTCCCGCCATACTCATAATTCTCTCTTCATATAGCCGTAAGCCTATTACATATCCATAAAACACTGTGATATAACCGCGCTCGGATCGGATCGCTTTCTCACTGTAATCGAACCGCTCCAGGGTTCGTTTCAATCGAGCCGAGACCACCTCATTCAAGCGATCTCGGAGCGATTACTTTGGTGCGGAACAGAGCGCGATTGCCCTGTTCACATATGCCAAACGAACTGCGTTAACTGGGCAATCGAGACAGGTTCCGAAACAAAAGTGTAGATGTGAAAGCACCCTAAAAGTAGGGTCCCACAGGAACAAATAGTATAGTAACCTAAAGTGAACAGCACAAGATGATTTTTGAATTTTACTATAGTAAACTTGAATGAATGTTGTGGTAACTCTTTGCCTGCTATGCTAACACAATAACTCCAGTGATATAAACAAATGACGCAGTACTGTAGTTTTCTACATCTATAAGGTATATTACAATACTCAACAGTTTACTGTAGTAAAAGACAAAGTATTCTACGTTATTTATGAAAGTTTATTAGTTCACTACAGGTAAAACGACTACTACAGGTTTGTAAATCCTGTCATATTTACAGTTTAATACACTTCAATGTAGTTTGGACTATAAATAAATATAGTAGGCTGTATTTAAATGTGGGATTGGATGTTTATTTGATTTTAACCCGTTTAGTTAGTTATTTTAAAAGCATTGTTCACCCTGAAATGTAAATTATGTCATGGTTTACACTGCCTGGCAACATCAACAGCATGAGGTATCGAGCCATTTGTGCTGCACATCAGACTACAAACCACAGGAGAGGGCGAATCCTTCAGCAGGACAGCGCTCCTTCTCATACTTCAGCCCCCACATCAAAGTTCCTAAAAGCAAAGAAGGTCAAGGTGCTGCTGGATTGGCCAGCCTAGTCACCAGACATGAACATTGTTGAGCATGTCTGAGGTAAGATGAAGGAGGAGGCATTGAAGATGAATCCAAAGCATCTTGATGAAGTGATTTGAGTCATTGCAGTGATGTGTGGATGCAGTCCTCCAAGCTCATGGGAGTCTTACACAATATTGATTCTTTCCCACATTCAATACTGGACATTATTTCTATTAAGTGACAATATTTTTGTCTTTGCAAAGTCAGAATTTACTGCCCTATTTAAATAATTAAAAATCAAGGAATTATCATATTTTATTTAGCTAAAATAAGAGGCCTTTGCCTTTTACATAAGCCACTTCTGACACCAAATGTTATTATTGTTTGTTGTTCCTAAAACTTGGATAGGCAACAAGAGTTTTGTCAGGCAGTGTACTCACCCTTGACCTATTTCTGAAAATGCTGGAAAGTCAGTGGTTACAGGTTGTCAGCCTTCTTCCAAATATCTTTTGTGTTTAACTGAAAAAAAGAAACTTTCATATTTAGGAACAACTTAAGGGTGAGTAAACATTGAGCATTTTTTAAAACTGTGGTATGTTTAAAAGGAAGAAGCATCTTATGTCATCTTCCAAAAAAAAAAAAAAAATGAGGGCAGGTCCCTTTAAAAGTACTCAGCAGCAACGCGCCTTTTCATTGGTTGTATCTTGTAAATTGATACTGCGCATCAGAGTGGAGTGAAAGTTCTTCAGTTCCCACAGACAGGTAATATTATCAAAAACATGGACCTCAAAGAAGCGTTTGCGACAATCTTTGACCAAAATCGGAAAGTCGCACTATACGCCGCAGGCACAACGGTTGCTGTGCTGGGACTCGGTCTTGTTTTTAAATACATGCGTCGGGAGGAAAAGTTAACTCGAGTGGGAGTTGTAACTAAGCTGCTGGTTCATCCGCTGAAGTCTGGGAAAGCAGTGTCAGTGGAGGCAGCAGAATGCCTGCGAATGGGGCTGAAATACGGCGAACTGCGTGATCGGTAAGTTACTTATTTGAAAGCATCTTAGCTTTTCATTTTGAACGCATGTCCGTGCACTGCTCTTGTACGGTTGCCTGCTAGTTAAATAGAAGTAGTGTTAAGGAGTATTTGTCTGACAATTTTATCACAAGTCATCAAGGTTTAGTAAAATTTGTCGTTTGCAAGTCTTTTAACGTTTCTAAAGTAGTTATGCGAGAGAAAGTTATGGTAAACCGTTTTAAGACATTTTTTGTTATGTCTTATGACATACCCCTGCTGAAAAAAAAAAAAACAGCTTAAACCAACCTAAGCTGGTTGGCTGGTTTCAGCTGGTTGACCAGCCTGGTTTTAGAGGGGTTTTGGCCACTTCCAGGCTGGTTTCCAGCTATTTCCAGCCTGGTCTTAGCTGGTCATTTTCGGTCTTAGCTGGTCAGGCTGGAAAATGACCAGCTAAAACCAGCTTGACCAGTCTGGTTTTGGCCGTACATAGCTGGTTTTGGCTGGGCTCCCAGCTCTGCTAGGCTGTTTAAGCTGGTTTTAGCTGGTCATCTCCCAGCCTGACCAGCTATGACCAGGCTGGAAATGTCCAAAACCCCTCTAAAACCAGCCTGGTTGATCAACTAAAAACAGCCAACCTTTTTATCACAAGTCATCAAGGTTTAGTAAAATTTGTCGTTTGCAAGTCTTTTAACGTTTCTAAAGTAGTTATGCGAGAGAAAGTTATGGTAAACCGTTAAACCGTAAACCGTTATGGTAAACGGTTTAAGCTGTTTTTTTCAGAAGGGACATCAAAAACAATGTGATGAATAACATTTATATTTTGATTAAATTTGATTATATTGATGACATAAACTGCTTTCGAGCAGTACAACTTTGACTGCATTGTAATGTTACATTTTTATCTCTTAAATCAAAACTCTGTTAAATTTACCTGTGTGTATACTGCTGAAAAATCCAGCTGAAACCAGCCTAGGATGATTGGGTGGTTTTAGCTGGTCGACCAGCCTGGTTTTAGAGGGGTTTTGGCCACTTCCAGGCTGGTCAAGCTGTTTTTAGATGTTTTTAGCTGTTCACTTTCCAGCCTGACCAGCTAAAACCAGGCTGGAAATCAGCCTGGAAGTGACCAAAACCCCTCTAAAACCAGGCTAAACTTGTGTCTTCGAGTCTCATTTACAGGCCTCCGACGTGCCTCAAACTCCACAACCGCTCCATGACATCATAAATTAGCAGAAACCTTTGTAAATGTATAAAATATCACACACACACAAAAAATATTTTTCTGACTTTCTTCTTTCTGTAGTCACTGGCTGGTAATCACCGAGGATGGCCACATGGTGACAGGCCGACAGCAGCCGCGTCTTGTGTTGGTGTCTTTGACCTGTGAGGGTGGACATGTGAGCCTCAATGGACCGCAGATGGAGGAGCTGAAGTTTCCTCTTAACAAGGCCAGCGATTTGGTTGTGGACTGCAGGTTTACTCAAGTTTTACATTAAGTAGTCCTGAAAGTCACAGAAAACAAAACAGAAATGCGATGTATATGCTGAGTTCAGTGGCTAATCAGCCGGAATCAGCTGAGGTGACGTGATGTTGACCAGCGAGACTTAGCTGTCACTCAAGTGGCCACGCCCTTAATTATGCGGATTCAGTATAACTTAATGTAAACCAAACGGATGAGTTATAAAAAAATTCACCCGCTCACAGTTATCATGGAGGCTAACATTAGCTATATACACCAATCTTCTTTTGTTCCGGGCAGTAAACGCCTTTTTTCAGCTGTAAAGTTAACAGTGGGGTTCATAGAAATGTGCTCTATTAAGGAGCCGAGACTAGCGGAATTTCGATGAATTGCAGTTTCAGTTACCCCTGTATTAGTTTCACAAGGGACGTTGCCACTTGATTACAAGTCATGCTTTGTTAATGTGAACAAAGTTTCTTTTTTAAGACTAAAAGTGGATGTGACATTGTGAAACGTTTGTTTTTGTGTGTAGAGTCTTCAGTGTAGATGTCCAGGGCAGGGACTGTGGCGACAAGGTCTCTGAATGGCTCACTCGATTTCTGGAAGCAGACAAACCTGTTCGCCTGGTGCATTATGAACCCGATCTGAAGCCCCAGAGGCCTCATGAGAAAGAGCCCCTATTTCCTAAAGATGATGAGGTTTGATGGACAGTCTTGTCTTACGCTATTTTTTTGTAAAGTAATAGTATTGGAAAGGTTTTATTTATATAAACCCTTGAATGTAGTTTTTTTTAATAGGAATAACAGTTATGCACACAAAAATGATCTTTGCTGCTTGTTCAAACTACCTAATTAAAATGAGTTGATAAAACTCATATAATTTAATTGTTTTGTTCAATCCACTTACATTTATAAAAACTATTAATCGATTTGTGTTGAGACAGCATAAAGGATTTGTGTGGAACCCAGCATTTTTTACAGTGTGAAATATCACTTTTTTATTGCACAGTCAGTTACATAATATTTTGGTTGGTCTATTTTTTTAGCTCCGTTTTCACTCAACTGGCATTCACTTCAGTCAAATGCTGTTAACTTAAGCAAACATTCCAGGATAGGCTTTAGGAGCTTTGGCTTATACAGTAAATGACCACTTCAAATGGTGTTAAACAGTAGCATACAGAAAAACTAAGTGTAAAGGTTTTAAAACCCTATCAAGCTATCGTATGTGGCAGAGGGAGACAAGAGATATTTTTCAAAGTCTGAGTTAAATGTTGAATTATTGTTCTTAAGTGTTCTTAAAATATTCTAAAAAGCTCAACAGTGGCCTGTTTTTCCCGTTTATTATACAGGCAAGTCATGGAAGTTCAACTTTTTAGTTGGGTTTTTGAAAATCATGAAGAAGTCAGGAAAGTGTACATTTGCCCAAGAGTGAGAACCCAGTAAAACTGACTGTCAAGGTTTGAAAAGTGCTTAGATTTTGGATAAAATGCTTGAAACCACTTGGAAAATGGAGCCTGCTTGTCTACCTGTAGTGTAATCTGCCTGTTTTTCTTTCTTTCTTTAATCTACACCCTTTGAAATTAAAATAAGTATAACTTCAAGATGAAACATAATCAAAACAGACATATTAAATGTGAGTAAATTACTCATACAAAAGTAAATAACAGTAATTCAGTGTTGGAATTGAGCAATGTTGGACTCAATGTTGGATTTAAACATTGCAAGAAAACTGTTTCTAAGAATACTATACTATTAATAGCATCTAATAAAATGTGATGAGAGTTTGCGTGTTCTCCCCGTGTTCGAGTGGGTTTCTTTCGGGTGCTCCGGTTTTCCCCCACAGTCCAAAGACATGCGGTACAGGGGAATTGGATGATCTGAATTGGCCTTAGTATATGAGTGTGTGTCTGTGAATGTGAGAGTGTATGGGTGTTTCCCAGAACTGGGTTGTGGCTGGAAAGACATCCTCTGCGTAAAACATATGCTGGAATAGTTGGCGGTTCATTGCGATGTGGTGACTCCTGAAAAGACACTAAGCCGAATGAATGAATTAATATGTAATAATTTTTTACTAGAGAAACATCGCTCTTTTGAAATGAATAGGGAGAAATCTTAAATATTAATACATTCAAATTCTTTATAGTGTTGTATAGCTTTGCTTTAAATTTCTTTCAACACTTCAAGTACAATTCTTTGTAAAAATAAAAAAAAATTGTGGTTGTTTTGTCACATCTCCACAATGCACAAGACTAGCATCATAGACTTATTTTAAATAACAGTTTTGATTCAAAAGTCATCATGACTGTGAATTAAAGTAGATTTATTATGCTTCATGTCTGTGAGATATTTTCATTTAGTCACTGCCGTCATCTGATCTGTGTTTGGCTATTCTTCAGGTGGCCTACCCCGATGCTGCTCCGGTCATGCTCATGACTGAGGCCTCTGTTGGAGACCTGAACAGCCGACTGGACAAGGATCTTTCTGTCTTTCAGTTTCGGCCCAGTATTGTTGTCAGTGACTGTGAAGCCTTCACTGAGGTATAATAGAGTTAAATAAAACATGACACAATGTCAATGTAAGGTATTAACTATTTATGTGATATGTTAACCAGGACACATGGGATCATATTCGTATTGGAGAAGTGGAGTTGAAAAGAGTCATAGGCTGTGGACGGTAAAGTAGAAATAAAATATCTCATTTACTAGTAGTTTTAGGCTGTGGAACGTAACGTAGAAATAAAATCCACCATTTACTAGTAGTCTTAAGCTGTGGAATGTAATGTAGAAATAAAATCCACCATTTACTAGTAGTCTTAGACTGGAATGTAAAGTAGAAATAAAATACTTCATTTACTAATGGTCTTAAGGCTAATTTATACTTCTGCATTAAACTTCAGAACTTCTGCATTAAACTGCAGTGACTTCTGGTCACTGATGTGCACCTCTCAAAAAATGTAACTACACGTCGCAACAACGCGTAGCGCAAGCTCTGTGATTGGTCGGCTTGGTTGCGCTGACGAGTCTGGGCGGGACAGAGAGCCGCACGAATGGCGCGAGCGATTGTTTACAAGTGTGGAGTCCCTTGAAGGAGCTCCGGATGGAAAGTTTTGTTTTGTGTTTACCTCATAGTTAAAGTTGTTGCACGGTTCCTGCCTCAAAATGAGCGAGTTTGAGCCACTTGTACATCCAGGAAGTGTTCAGGAAAAGCAAAACAGCAGCGAAGAAACTCGACACAGAGAAACATTTACACCTCACTGCCAACTAGCGTTTCGGAAGTGTTAATGCAGACCAACAGAGACAGCGCGCAGAAGTATAAATGCACAGCTACGGGCGTTGCATGCGCCGTGGGTTACGCCGGTCACTTGACGCGGAAGTATAAGCCAGGCTTTAGGCTGTGGAATGTAAAGTAGAAATAAAATGCGTCATTTACTAGTAGTTTTAGGCTGTGGAATGTAATGTAGAAATAAAATTGACCATTTTACTAGTATCGTTAGACTACATATAACGTAGAAGTAAAATTCACCATTTACTAATGGTCTTAGGCTGTGGAATGTAAAGTAGAAATAAAATATGTCATTTACTAGTCATCATAGGCTGTGGAATGTAAAGTAGAAATAAAATAAATCATTTACTGTTAGTAGATTAGTTAATGTTAGCTGTGAAAGTTTAGTTCAACCCAAAAAATGAGTAAAACTCATATCTCCTGGACTGCCCTGTTTTTAATAAAGGTTTTTATAAGAAATTAACTCTCTTTAGGACATTTTTAGCTAAGTGACACCAGGAAAAATGTTTTTTTTATTTTTATTTTTATGATGTATTCATTTGTTTGTTGTTTTTAATTGTATATTTTGCAGCTGTATAATTTGTATGCTGAAACAGATGTTCTAAACCGATATGATTACATGTGATATATGTTATGTTGAGTATAGGTTTTGCCACGAATATATCTAATGGTTCAGATATGGCATTAAAATGCAAGTAAATAGACAATTAAATTACTTTCATCAAACTCTTATCTTTTGAAACACAAATTAAGATATTTTAGATTAAATCAGGGAAGCTCCAATTTAGAAAGCTACCAAACAAACATCCACAAACCAAACATGCCTTTGTTGGATTTATTGGAGTGTTCTAAACATATGAGAAATATTTTGTGCGCACTTAAAACTAAAATAATGACTTTATTAAACCTCAGATGCGGTTCTGCTTTGGTTCAAACTGAGGAAGTCACACGCAGGTATACATCAGGGCTCATGAACGTGCACATTATACTGACACTGAGGAGAACTATTTAAGTTTTGTGTGCACACAAAAGTATTTTCGTAGCTTAATAACATTCTGATTGAACCATTAAGGGCATATGGCTTTTTGGTATTTTTTCTGGACTTCAAACATCTCAGCATCATCACTATAAATGGAGGATAAGGGAGCTCTCAGATTTAGTTAAAATATATTTTGTGTTTCGAAGACAAACATAGGTGTCAGGGGTTTTGAATGACATGATGGTGAGTAATTACTAACAGCATGTTCAATTTTGGGTATGCTAATCCCTTTACTTGTGTTTATTAATATATTTAGATGCCTTTTTACCACTGTTGACCCTGAGACTGGAGTCTTCTCTCGGAAAGAACCGCTTGACACTCTCAAAACGTAAGTGCACACAGACAGACACTGTCTACATTACACTTGTGAACATATGATCTACAAATTTTGGGCAGCAAGTCCATTTTAGTAAATCATTTTCTTCCTTTGCCTCCAGCCAAAGATATTTTGTTAATCAGTTACGTGTTATCAGGCTTGTTTGCCTCAGTGTTTTATTATTACAAAATCTAGAAAATGAATCACTGTACTATACAACAGCAGTTTTCATTTTGTTTATAGGCTTATCTTATAAAATTATAAAATAATTAATGGCCCCAAACAATAAAAAGTTAATGCACATTGCACAATATCTTAACCTCCATATTGCTTAGTGGCTACATACGTGGACAGCACATTTTAGTTCTTTAGTGGCTATTTAAAATACTTTGAATGTTTTATATTTTGTTACAGACATACAGTGTCATTCTGCAACTGTTTTGCAGCAGATAAAATACACTTTTTAATTGTCCAAAATGGCGAAATTCTTTTGTTTTTACTGTCTGCTAGTCAAAACATGTTCAAAAAATTCGATGTTAAAAGGCCACGAAATCCCCCTGTTTCAGCAGGGTGTTTTAACATATCTAGATTGGAAAAAGTCAGGAAAGTGGGTGTGTCTAGCTCTGTTTAGGGGCAAGTGTCGGAGGAGGGAAAGAGGGAGTTTCGGTTTGGACACATGCTAATTTTTACAGAGGCAAAACAAACACACAGACACAGGGGAGAAAGACAGTGACTGTGTTTACATGGGCTTCAGTAATCAAATTATTTGCCAAATTATTAAGTAGTGGACTTTAACTGCAGTTTGGCACTTTCATTCAGGAACATTTCATTCATGCCCCTCGAGACAATTGAGGTATTTGATTCAAGGAACTGCTGGAAGCGTGTATTTTTAATTCAGTGTTTGATACCACACGGTGAATGAGAGAAATAAACCCCTCTGCATTTCTTGGTAACTGGGATGCACTCGTTAGGTAGCGTCAAAAAGCTGTGTGTTTTATTCCCGTCACAAAATGCGGCGAAAATTCTACACAACGGTAATAGTTTGATTGCGGTGTTTACATGTTTAAAAAAGTTCTTAACTGTAGGTTCACACCAAAAGCGGCGAGAGCGTCAAAGGTCGCTCTGGCTGCCCTGGCGACAACGCTGTCTGCCTTCAGCTCCGGCGGTGAGAGCGAATAAGGGGTAAATAGCGTAGAGGGGAGCGTCACATGTTATGTTGAAAACTGATTTTCATTTAAACATAGTGATGTAAACTTTAAACCTGAGAAAACTGCTCAAAATTGCCCAGCCCTAACTAATACTGACAGAAATTGCAAACGTTTTCAGTTGCACTTGGTATATGATGTAACCACAGAAGAGTCTCGCTTTAAATATCAAAATTGTCAATTCTCTAGAATAGTTTGAGAGAGATGCTAACGGTCTAATACAATTCAATTATTTATGCTAAGCTAAGCTAAAAGTCCTCCTATCTCGCTCAATCTTTGGCTTAATTGGATTTAAAAACGGTGAAACTCAACTCTTTAATATAGGACTTGTAAAATGAGCCTATTTTATATGGAGTCATCCTTTAAAATGATACTGGCTGAGCTTTTATGTTGATGTCAATGGCGTAACTTTTTAGATGTGACTATCCAAAGATGTGAGATGTGACTTTGTGACAATCCAACTTCATGTCAGTTGATTGAAATGCATTTGACTTGCAGTATTTGTAATACAAACTATTGAAACAGTGAAAATCTCCAAACAGTGATGAGTATGCTGCGCAGAACTGACCTCAATGATAATAAATAATGTATTTAACTCACTTAAGTTGTAACATCAAGCTGCTCTTATATGTGCCTGTGCCTAATTTGTAGCACAATCGGCCAATGCTAATTAATATGAATAAAATGTCATCCTTTCTCTAACACAAGCTGACTCCTTAATCTGTTGATCTCTAATTAAAACAACTTACTATTGAAAATCACAGGGCATTGTTCAACAAAACTCTTGCTCTATGCATATACAGTAGGGAAATGTCATAAGGTTGTATCGTCCACAGTTTTATCACCTACTTCTTTTTCTTTTCTTCAAAGCTATCGAATGACTGACCCCAAGCAGAAAACCTCACCAATACTGGGACAGTATTACACCGTCAGGAAAACGGGTGTTCTTCATGTCGGTGAACCAGTTTATAAGATCACCTATTAAAACAGGCCAGACTGGATGCAATGCAGAATATTAAAATCTAATGATTACAAGCAGACAGGCCATCCTTTACATCAGTTCTAAACTAGATTTAATCAGTCATATTTTTCATCATTTTCATTGAGTAATTATAAGTAATGAGTATAAATAAATAAAACTATATATATATATATATATATATATATATATATGTGTGTGTGTGTGTGTGTGTGTGTGTGTGTGTGTGTGTATATATATGGGCAATTTTTGTATATATATATATATATATATATATATATATATATATATATATATATATATATATATATATATATATATATATATATACACATACTGTACATACATACATACATACATACAACTATTCTGTCTGGTTCTCGAATCTGATTGGCTGATAGCCGTGATATATTTAAGTAATATCAGCCCCCGTACAGCCTCTTTACCCTTTATGTATTACTCCACCCACATACAGCCAGCAAAAAGCAGACACTACAGATCTAAAGTTTAAAAGATGAAGAGTACAAAAGGGTTTTTGAGACTCCATGTTTGATTTTGTTTTTATATACACAATTATGCTGTCAAACTGTTGTATAAACGCAATATTACACTCGTAGCAGTGCGATATGGCTGTATATCGGCACTGGTGGGGGCACTAAGGCACTCGGCCTGCAGCCTCGTGCGAACGCATGCCTCTCACCAGTGCCGATATACAGCCATATTGCACTGCTACGAGTGTGATATTGCTCATATATAAAGATGATTTTGTAAAATGTTCAGTGTTAGGATTGGAGTAGATCAAATGTCAGAGATTCCAAACCAAAGGGTTCAGCAAATGTGAATGTGAGCATTGCATCCAAAACAAACTGCAACAACAACAAAAACATCATTTATGCGGGATCCAAAAAATAGCTGATTTATTCGTTGTCACATGGGTGAGTTTATTAGTTTTCAGTGATGTGGCCAACAAGTTTTTATAGCAAGATGATGGGAATTCTGTGATTCTTGTGTTTTTGGATCTCTCAAATTTCAGAGTGAATTGTCAAATAGTAGTGCAGTGTAATACTAGATTCATGTACAATCACAAATCAACATCTTGGTTTAAATCTCCCAGCCCCCTCACACACACACACACACACACACACACACACACACATACGAGCATCTGCAATTATTTAGTCAAATGCAAATATCATGATTAAATACTCCCAATATGACTTCATCAATCACACACCGATTTATTGAATAGGATTACTGATATTGTGATGCTAAAAAGAGATCATGCTTGCTGAACATAAAGCCTTTAGAAATCTAATCAGTATTGTTTTCATTCGGACAACATCCAGTAGATGGCGCTGTTTCTGTGGTTTGTGAATGGCTGTAGACGTTCATATTTACAGTGCATTATTGTACATACATAGTTGCTAAGCTAACCATGAAAGGAGCAGGAATGAGGTTTCAAATAATTATGAATTGTAACAATACGATTGATTTTTAATTTTTTTTGAGAGTGAACCTATAAATACCGGATTTTCCAAATAATTTATTTGAATGCCTGTTGTTTTTATACTATCATAATTTCTTCAGATTTATCAAGATTAATTAACATGGATGAAATCAATAAACAATGTTTTTTTTAAATGTCGTTCATCACCCTCATATCGCATCTACCCACAGACACTCACCGGCCACTTTATTAGGTACACCTGTCCAACTGCTTTTTAACGTAAATTTCGAATCAGCCAATCACATGGCAGCAACTCGATGCATGTAGACATGGTCAAGATGATCTGCTGCAGTTCAAACTGAGCATCAGAATGGGTAAGAAAGGTGATTTAGGTGGCTTTGAACATGGCATGGTTGTTGGTGCCAGACGGGCAGTTATGAGTATTTCAGGGACTGCTAATCTACTGGGATTTTCACGCACAGCCATCTCTAGAGTTTACAAAGAAGGATCCGAAAAAGAGAAAATATCCAGTGAGCGGCAGTTCTGAGGGTGCAAATGCCTTGTTGATGCCAGAGGAGAATGGCCAGACTGGTTTGAGCTGATAGAAACGCAACAGTAACTCAAATAAACACTCGTTAAAACCGAGATGCAGCAGATCATCTCTGAACGCACACTACGTCCAACCTCGAGAAAGATTGGCTACAGCAGCGAAAGACCACATCGGGTGCCACTCCTGTCAGCTAAGAACAGGAAACTGAGGCTACAATTAGCACAGGCTCACCACAATTGGACAATAGAAGATTGTTAAAATGTTGCGATTTCTGCTGCAACGTTTGGATAGTAGGCTCAGAATTTGGTCTCAATTACATGAAAGCATGGATCCATGATGCTATCATGCCAATATGGACCAAAATCTTAGAGGAATGTTACCAGTATTTTGTTGATTCTACGCCGAGAAGGATTAAGGCAGTTCTGAAAGCAAAAGTGGGTCCAACCCGGTACTAGTAAGGTGTATTTAATAAAGTGGTCATTGAGTGTATATATTGGTTATTCTATTAAAATATTAAACATAAACAGTTCTGGTTACCTTCAACTTTCATTAAATGGTCAAAAAATGCATTTAAAACAAATCTCTTATGTTCTACAGAAGAAAATAACTACTATGGAAAACCATGATGGTATGAAGGCACAAACATTTTCATGAAATAAAATAATTTATAATGAAAATAATACATAGAAAGATTACACAACTCAAAAAAATTAAATAAATGTCTCATGGGTGTCAAAATGTAGTCAGTCGTAGTCAGGCAGTAGAATTCTTGGGAGGGAATTGAGATGAAATCCATCTTTCTAAGCATCATCAACACGCACGCATACATACACTCTTGGATGTCTATCTGCATGGGAACCATTCCATAGATAATGATTTTATACTGTTCAAAATGTATATATTTTATTCCCCTACTCTCACAGAAAACAATCTGCATTTTTACATTTTCAAAATGCTCCATAATGTGCGATTTACCAGTCATTTACCTTATGGGGATGAAACTGGGGATGGCACATTTGACCCACACAAACCCCATTTCCAGGGCAGATGGAAAGCATGTTTGTCAATCATTCAGCAAACAGGCTCATCCAATGTTTTGAAGTGGGAAAGCGGTTCATTATTGTCTTCCTGACAGACAGCTAGCACCTCCACGTGAAATATCTCACAAGGATGACAAACCGAGCAGAGTAATGACAATCACATTTTGAATTTACTCAATTCTTGAAGTGTTTTCTCGCTTTTAAATATAGAGTGACCCATTACACATTTTAACACAGCTAAATTGTTGTACAGTTCTCTTAAAGTTAAACCATGAGATCAAGACAATATTCTTCCATGAGCAAAGATCTTAAAGAGATTATTCACTCAATAGTGAAAATCAGCTGTAAATTCACTAAACAGATCCATTCCCCCCCTTTAGTACAACAGGAAACAAGATTTTTTTACCTGAAATCACAGTCCTTGGTGATGTGAACCATGACGAATGAAGTTCTGCACAAGACTTTTGGCCAGCGGAGAAATTAAAATGGTCGTGCCCAACTGAGTCTGGTTCTCTCAAGGTTCTTTTTTTTTCACTCCCATCAGGTGAAGTTTTTTTTTCCCTCTCCGCTGTCGCCACTGCCTCGCATGGTTCAGGATTGGTAGAGCTACGCATCGATGAATTTGCTCTTCAGTGTTTGAACTCTCAGTAATGATTAAATCACACTGAACTGAGCTAAACTGAACTGAACTGAACTTAAACACTAAAACCTGAACCACACTGTTCCAGTTACTGAACCACACTGTTCCAGCTACTATGACCATTTATGTGAAGCTGCTTTGACACAATCTACATTGTAAAAGCGCTATACAAATAAAGCTGAATTGAATTGAATTGAATGTGTAAAATACTATTAGAATGTTGTCATTCCTTTAAGAATCAAAGAAACACATACAGATGAAACATAACTCAAACCTGTGGCTCTTTACAATACATTGAGGTCTTCTGAAGTGAAACGATCAGTGAATAAACTAATAATGCAGTTTTTTTAAACACGGGTTCTGTTTAAACTCATTCCTCCAGATGGCCCACCCATGTGAACGTTGAGCCTCTTTGAGCGTTTTAGCGGCAGCACTGTCTCAGGCTGCTTTTGGCTCTCTGTCTCTGTAATTAGTGTGCTGTAAGACACCTATGATGAAAAGTCTACTAGATAATTACAGACTTACAAAATAAACAGTGTCTGTGTGTGACTTCACAGGTCTTGACATTAGTGAATAGACATGCGTCCGTCTCGTCATTGTTAGTTTTTTGTTGGGTGAATTTGACAGCCATGGGCCTGTACCATGAAGCTGGCTGAACAAGCTTATAGGATTAGTCATGAGTTGACAAAACCAAACCAGCGGCTTTGTTGGGATCACGATGCTGATCTTCCACTTTCTCTGTTAACTCGAGCTTTGATCTTGAGTTAAGACCAGAGGTGGAACATCAACAGCAAAGAGCCAATCACATGCCTGGAAACCGATGTGATTGACTTCTCGTGAATTCACAGGCAGAGATTAAAAGATTTACGAAGAATTTGAAAATATACAGAAAGAGCTGTCTATGAAAGAAGACATGCTTAAAGAAAACTGTTGGCTTTATTAGTGCCCGAGAAGTTGAGGTAATTTGTATGGTTAATAATGTGCGTATAATATAATAATACACTCAAAAATCTAGTCAAAAATATTTTGGCAGCTTGTTTAAACTACTCATTTAAAAAGAGCTGAATCAACACAATTAAATATATGCACACAGACTTTTATAATTTCAGTCAGCCAGCTCCTGGGCTTCCGTTTAATTGTCATCCAGTGGTGGAAAGAGTACTGCAAAATCATACTCAAGTAAAAGTACGATTACTTGCCTAAAAATGTAGTGCGAGTAGAGTAAAAGTTAATTCATTCATTGTCTTGTCGGCTTAGTCTCTTTATTAATCCGGGGTCGCCACAGCGAAATGAACCGCCAACTTATCCAGCAAGTTTTTACGCAGAGGATGCCCTTCCAGCCGCAATCCATCTCTGGGAAATAGAATTAAAGTATCTGTTTT